TTCAATATGAGTGCTATATAGAATCTGAATCAGTGGCAAAGAAACCCGATCGTTATGACTTTGTATATAACAATCTTCCTAAAGATCATTTTGTGTTAAGAAAGGTGCCCAATTGTGCATTCTGTCATGCTAAAAGGTTCCCTGGTGAAGGTCCCGCATTACATTGCGAAAAGGGACTTGTCAATATATTTATATCAGAAGTGCTTGATGAACTTCAACAATTGTTCACCAATCAAACGGATGCTGATGCAAAGTATTTTAGAAATCACATAAGGTACTTCAATTCACACTTCTCATTCACCAGTTTTGGTGTCTCAGTTTGATCGCCGATCGCCACCGCTAGAGGAACTGGTATATATACATTCAAAGCTCATGGTCAAATATATCACAAGCTAGATCCACTCATACCGGTGGTCAAGGTCCACGACATATGCAGCTATATTTTTATGACACGACAATTCTATATCTCATAGGATTAAGAGGTCTCCACATCTTGATGCTCAGTTGATCATAAAAATACTGAACATCCTAGAGAACAATACTTATGTGCAAGCGTTCAGAGTCTAGGCACCCTCGCCTAACCTGCAAAGCCTACACAATTGCTCTCAATACGAAGATATCTGTTGATCAAAGGAGATTCAATGCGCCTACAATGGGACAAGTGGCTGCGATATGGATGGATGGAAATGATCCCCAACACAGATTTGAGAGGAGCATAATAATATATGGCCACGAGAACCATCCCCATTATATCGGGCTTATCATGGCTGCTATGATCCTTTGGCCTATCATTTATTTTATCCAAACGGTGAAACCGGTTGGGAGGATAAAATGATCTTGTACCAAGATCAACTTTGTTTCAAAGCCGAGGAGAAAATATACAAAACGTAAAAACAAGGTTTGTCTTTTATAGCGTGATATATATTTTTTATTCCTCTATATGTAAATGCAAAATGTTTTATTTATACAACAATATTTTTTTAGTGGACGATGATAACGATCTTGATGATGGAAACAATGAGGATATTGAAATTGAGGTTTGACCTTTTTTAAAAAAACAAAGTTTTTATATAAACAAATAAGTCCCTTAATGGAACACTTTGGTTACCAAACTAAATAAAAGTAAACATGCTTCATCAACAGATAAAGAATCTCGACGTTACATGAGCGCCAGAGAATACTTATGTTTTAGGCTACAAATTAAATGAAGGGAATTTAACATCTTCTTTTAGGGTGGCCGTCTTTTCCAACAATGGGCCATGGACATGTACGTGAAAGTTGAGTCAATGCGTTTAGACTGGTACTCCAAACCGAGCATCAAGATCTAATCCGTCTTGATCTTTACCGGTGAGGTCAATTAAAAGTTACATTTCACATTCTTATCAAATTGTGATCTATTGACATTTCTTTAACCCTAGGGTCTAATCGACACACTTGTCTGCTGGAGAGGCCCGTGCTTGAAGCGAGGAAAAAAGAATTGTCTTATCCAAAGATTTCCATGGAAGTGATAGAGATGTTCATGCGAGATTTATGGATGCAATGACTTTAGTTACCAGATTTGAAAAGCTGATCTTTTATAACAATGACATGCAACCCTTATTGGAATGAAATAATGGAAGAGTTATTGCTCGACGAGACCGCTCAAGATCGTCCCGATGTGGTGACAAGAGTTTACTGAGCCAGATTACTAAACTTGCATGACGATTTGATTAAAAAGGAGTCCTTGGAAAGGTTGCAACATATGCTCATGTGACGGAGTTTGGAAGAGAGGCCTACCATGAACACTTCCTTTTGATTATGGAACCAAATACTAAGTTGAGGAGTCCAGATGACTATGATAAGTTTATATCAGTGAGACTACGACCCAGATTAAATATCCAGGTGTTACATAAGTTGGTTTGCAAGCATATGATGCATGGTCCTTGTGGTACGTTGAACCAAAGCGTCTGCATGGTAGATGGAGAATGTCGCTTTCGGTATCCTCGTCGGTTTTGTGATACCACCCAAAGAAGGAAAAGACTCATATCCGATTTATAGGAGAAGGGATAATGGTCAAAGTGTAAAAGTAAGGGGTGAAAAAATTTTAGATAACAGATGGGTTGTTCCATATAATAACAATGAGTGAATATATCATATTTTCTAAATAATTATCCGCCTCTACCATTATAAAAAAACATAAACCATAAATCTACATCTAAATTACCCACCTTTGTCGTTATAGAATATATCCTAAGTAACCACTAGATTTACATCTAATTACCTACATACCATTAATGGCATCCCAAAAATACTTGTGAAACAAAAAAGGGAACCATATGGAGACCTGGCCCCTTGAGCTTACGAGCCAAAAAAGTTGAGGATTCCAAAATTTTCCACTGAAATCCTCTCACTTGATAAGTTTAAGTTCGGTTGTTCATTCATCGATAATGCACACAGCTGAAATCACGCTCCATAAATATACTCCTGCTAAAAAAGTGAAAGTAAAATAAAATTTCAATGATACATTTTTTAGGTCATGGTTGGGATGAGGACAAGTCCCATGCGGCCCATGCAGGAGCCTTGTGGACCACCTCGGGCAGGGAGACAAGGTGGTGTTAAATCTGGGGGCTAAAGTTTAGAGGTATCACATCGGGATGTTATATGGGAGTGTTCGAATAATAATAATAAAATAAATTACAGAAGTCCTCAGTAATCTACGAGATGAATTTATTAAGCCTAATTAATCAGGCGTTAGCATATGTCACTATGTTGTTCTCTTTCGTGATATGTCACTGTGTTGTCCGCGAGAACTAGGTGGTGTTTATTAAGCCTAATTAATCCAGCATTAGCATATATAGCGTTGTGTTGTCAAATCATGGACTAATTAGGTTTAAAAAATTCGTCTCGCAAATTAGTCGCAATTTGTGCAATTAGTTATTTTTTAGTCTATATTTAATACTCCATGCATGTGTCCAAACATCCGATGTGATAGAGACTAAACTTTAGAGTGAGAAACTAGATAAGGCCTAGTTTCAAGAGTTGAGGGGGGCAAGTTAGCCTGTCGAAGAGTTTAAGGATAATCAGGTTACGACCATGGTTCAAGAAGTTAAAAAGTGGGTTTTTCTTGTAGAGAAAGGGACATACTTAGATTCATAGTATTAATAGTTAGCAGCTAAAATTAACCGACGATGATCCAAATAGACCTATTAATAGACATGCCAACTATTAGCAAAGGTGTTAACAATTAGTTCATTAGTTAGTAAAGATATGCCGCTAATATATTGCTCATATATACAAAACAACTATCTAACCACCTACTAGAGATGGGTCGAAACAGCCTCTTCTAATAATTAGCTAGGAGTAGATAATAATTTAGACAGCTTTTGAGAGTTGAGATTGAGACTTGAGAGGGGCAAGTTATCCAGCTGTAGAGTGAGCGTGCGGTGCGTGACGAGGCCCAGCCCGTGTTGGGGGGTTAGCCACGGCCTAGAGGGATCCCAGAGGCAGGCGCGTAGTCGTGGGCCGGAAGCAGTCGCCCCTCTCCCGCTCTGGTCACCCGCTCAGGCCCTGCCCATGTGGAACCAATTGGGCTAGGCAAAGGACAGCCTACCGCGAGCACGAGACACCAGGCGCGGTAGTCGGAAGGGGCCTCCTGGTTCCACGTCCGGATCGGGTCGGATTCTTATATCGATCGAGCTGCTGGTGGAGAAGTCAAGGGCCCATAGCAAGCAAGCATTCGACGGTTGGGAAATTCACCTCTTCGACTCACGTCGAGCCAGGAGCCACCGTCACGACCAACAGAAACGTGTAACACCTGCACGACTCGTCGACTCCAAACGATCCGAACCGTTGGAGTGGAGGAGATTTTTGCTGATCCATCCAATGCGCTGCCACTGCTTTTCGAGCAGCCGGCCCGGGCACCACACCACTGCGGCACCCGAGCAGCGCATAGGCATAGGCCGGCCGTATGCTGCTGCTCTCCGTCTCCGACAGCGCACAGGCACAGGCTCGTCTGATGGCAACGTTTGTCCCCAGGCCCAGCCCTAGACGCTAGACGGAGACGAACTTTCCTTTCCAGATTGGCCTTAAGCCGGTTTATTTGGCTTCTTCTTTTTTTAGTTAGAATAGTATTTCTCTCGCAACATTTTAGCTTTGGCTTATTTTTTCAGTCAATTTCAGTCAAGACAGGCCATTTTCTCTTACATTATTATACTACTAATTAGACTGACTCAGGTTTTGGAGCACTAAGATGCATTTCTTCTTCTCAACCGACCGTGTAACCTTCATTACTCTGTTTCAATGTCTGTAGGGCAGTAATTGTGCAGGATGCAGCCGCTGATCTGAATGGTTTTCTGGCTGCTCTGACCTCTGAAGAGTGCTGCAATGCGGACTAGCAAGATCAGATCAGATGGTTTTGGACTGAAGATGGCAATCCTGATTCCTGGATAAGGGGCATACATAAGCATAACGAAGTTGTTATGTCTGTGGCTGCGCTTCACTTCAAAACATCTGCAGCTCTGCTCATGAAGGACAGGGGCACACACAATTACACAATCAAAGCAACAGCCAGGAGCTGCCGATAAACAGAAGCAAAGGTGTCTGTAAAATTTCTCTTAATTCCATTATCTTGAGAGAATTACAGCAAGACAAGAAGAGGCCGTGGTCACATACTCACATACATCATGCTGCTACAGATAACACAGCAGGAAGCAGGAAGGTTTGCAAGAACAGGTTCCCCTCCACGGATTACATGATGAGTTATTCACATCATCACAAAAGTAGTATTACCGAATCATGGCAGTGGTAAAAGAAAGGAGACTAAAGAAGCAGTGGCAAAAACAAAAAATTAAAATTAAAATTATCAATTTCTATGGAGAGAGATAGAATAGCACGATAGCACTTGTTGGGCGGCCCGGGTACGCATTGCTCCGCCGGATCATCATCAGCCACACGAAGCGAGCAGCACGACGATCCTGTAGTACCAGTTCGGGGGAGTGCTCGTGGTTGGTTCGCGGCGGCGGCTAGAGGTGCAGTAGCGTGTCGCAGCGCCAGTCCATCTCGTCGGCCGCCGGGTCCGGCACGTTCAGATCGAACGGCAGCGGGGCCGGCGGCGGCGCGGCGGCCTCGTCGCCGCAGCCCGGGCCCGACGCGCCGTCCTCGCAGAGAACCGACGATGAGGACCCGCAGTAGCTGCGGCAGTCCTCCTCGGCGGCCGGGGCGGCTGCGGCGCGGAGGATCCCGGCGGGCGCGCCGCCGCCGCTCCAGGACTCGACGGTGCTGCTGTGGCTAGACGTCGCCGCCCCCGCCGCGGCGGCGGGGGCGGTGACGGTTGCGGGGAGCAGCGGCGGCGGCGGCACCGCGGCGGAGACGGAGGCGGAGGGGAAGTTGGTCCGCGCGGCGGCGCCGCGGATGGTCCTGGCGGCGTCGTCGTAGGCGCGGGCCGCGGCCTCGGCCGAGTCGAAGGTGCCGAGCCAGATCGGGGTCTTCCTGGCCGGGTCCCGGATCTCGGCCGCGTACCGCCCCGACGGCCGCCGCCTCACCCCGCGGTACTTCACCTCCGGCCCCCCCGCGTCCCCCGGCGCCGTCGGGACCGGGACCGGGACCGGCGGCGGCCTCGCCCGCCGCATCCCTCCTCGCCTCTTCCTCTTCCTTCCTCTCTGCCCTGCCCTGCCTGCCTTCCTTCTCGTGCGGCTTGTTGTGCCTTGTCCTCCTCGGCGACTCCGCGTTTGGCTTGGCCCGGCCCCCGAGTGGCCTTTCCTTTCCTCCCGCGCCCGCCCGCCCGCCCGCGGCTGCTCCTGCGCCTGTTTGGTCGGCACGGCCCCGCGGAGGCTGACGCGCCGGGCCCGCCACTACCCGGGCGCCGCGTCGGTCCGTTGGGTTGATTTCCCACGACCGCGTCAGGCGTCACCACGTCCACGTCCCGGGGGTGGATCGGCTGCCTCTGCCTGCCGCGCCTGCGCCGCCTCCTCAATCTTCGCCACCGCATCGGATTCGCATCGCCATCGCCCCGCCGCGTGGTGATGTGCTCGCCTCTTCCCGCCAGACCCAGTGGTGTGGCGTGGTTGGATTTTTGCGATGCGTGTCGTGCTGGTAGCCGCGGTGCCACTAGCGCGGGGGCGGCATATTCGCGCAACTGTGCCGCCTGCCTGCTGTGGCTGTGGACAGTGGACACCACCAGTTTAGTGCAAGCCGACGGGAGCTGAATTGGGATGGCTCCACTTTTTCCACGTGCAAAGCCAAGCCAGTGCGGTAATTAAAGATAAAAATACTCACCGTTTACCTGTCTAACATCCATGCTCTTTGACCGTTTCGGAATGCGTGGAATCCATAGGGAAGACCCAGCTCATCTAGTAGGATTTCTGAAAAACAATATTTAGAGGATCTATAGGCAGAGGCCACCAAGGGAGAGGGACGACACACGGTCCCACTTCATGGGCGAGCCCATTACCATGTATGTGGAGTCAGCCAGACACCGTCCATCCAGGTCCAAACGATTTGCCCCGCACTCGTACGCAAAACGCGGCTAGCTGGGACGCCACAGGGCAGGGCAGGCAGCGGTGCGGCGCTGATGCGTCACGCATCGTGTGCCGCCCAGGACCAGCAACATCACATGGTCGCAAGTTATGATTGCACACCGTATCGCTTTGCCGCCTGCAACTCTTTATCTCATCACGAAGGGAAAATGTATCACAGCGAAACGGTAACGGTACCACAGCTCCTTCGCGTGCCGGCGTGCGGCAACCACGACAAAGCACTGACGCTGAAACTAACAGGCAACGCGCTGTGGCTCTCTGATCTGAATCCTCATGCACCCTCTCGGTTTTTGGCACAGCTGCGGACAGCTAGTGAGTAGTGACCCGTGACCGTCTACATCTCCCAGGACGTCCCCTCCGCCATCATGACAGGGATTGCAAGTTTTTTTATTCTCTTTTCGTCACATCAAATCTTTAACACATGTATGAAGTATTAAATGTAGATAAAAAAATAACTAATTACACAGTTTGATTGTAAATTACGAGACGAATCTTTTAAACCTAGTTAGACCATGATTGGACAATAATTATCAAATACAAACAAAAGTGCTACAGTGCCAAATACTTATTCATAACCCCCATCTAAACAAGTCCGTAATCTTACCATCGACGAGAGGGCAGGTCAGTTCACTCGTACGGGTTCCTGAAGTTCTTGAGGAGCTCCGGGATGTCACCGTCTTGGGCTTCAGCTTCTCGAACTTGTCGATGCTGTACCCACCCAGCACCTGTTTGAAGTGCTCCACGTCGGGGAAGTCTCCGGCGGGGAGATGGTATTCCCTCTGGACCTGTTCCACCGGATCACGAGCATCAGTCAAGCAGAGGGATGTGCAAAAGAGAGAAGAAAAATGACAGTAAGTTTGGATTTGGATGGGAGCAAATTAAGGTTAGTCATAAATCTTCGGGCAGTCAAGTTCTCTGTAAGTACCTTTGCAAACTCCTCCTCTAAGTTGTCTATGAGTCGTTGTTGGGCCTTAGCTTTTCCCATCATTGCAGGCATCTCCTTCTTCAGATGGACAATTATGTAAGCATGGATCTTGGCAGCTCGAGCACGCTTAACAAACTCATTGACCTGCAAGAAACGGTGCTGTTCATTTCGAAAAACCAGTACAGAAAGGAGGAATTCTGACAAATGACTCAACATTTCAACTTACCCGTCGATCACAAGCCTTCTTAGGAATGTCTTTCAGGTCACAGAGGAGGTCATCTTGCTCCCTCTCAAACAAGTCTTTTCCAATTGGTCCAACAGCTGAATCATTCACTGGCTTATCATTAAATGACCTGTAAATATTAGGTTCAAAATGACAATCCAGTTAATGCAAAAATAAAAAAACTCATTTAGTTTTATACTTTATTGAACAACCCCATGCAAATTAAGGCCCCGTTCGCGTGCCCTTAAACCCGGCTTGATCCGCTTATTTTTTCATCCGGAACAGTATTTTTCTCTCACAAATTCCTCCAGCATTCCTTCAAACCATCCAGATTCCTCCAGAATTCAGACAAGCGAACATGCCCTAAATATTTATTTTAGTTTGAATTTTGAACCTCCAACAACATGCATTTTTTAACTTATTGTACAAGTCTTGTAACACCTCCATTTCTTAAAAGTTATTTTTTTGAAACAAGGATATCCCCATTCCCATTGATATCAACAGAAGTACAGCATTTGAGAGTATTGCAGTAAGAAGCTAAGAGTGGTAAGAAAGATATAAAAACTGCCCCGAACACATCGCCTGCATCAGACGAGCTACAGAAAAATGTAACAAATAACAGGCATAAGAAATTACCCGATATACACACGCACAACCTCAGGAGTATTTAGCACTTTCCCAAGAGACCACATCAATGCACCGTACACTCTCATAAGCTGTAGTATAGAAGGGGAAAAAATATCCATCATACTATATTTTTTTTTACAAACAAAATAAAGCATAAGCATAACAGGCCATACAAATTGATTGCAAGAAAAAACTGTACCTGCTGTGTGTCAACTTGGTCAGCCTTGTTCAACACTACGCGTATTTTGTCATCGTGACCACGTAAGGATGAAATGACACGTTTGAACTCATCACTTATATCAAGCTTGTGAGGGTCAAACAGAAGAAGAATAAGGTCACACTTAGCAGCAAACCATGAGGTTACACCAGTGGAATCATAGCTACGTTGGGTCCGTTGCTTTTCCCCAGAGAGAACACCAGGAGTGTCCACAAAGGTGATATGCTCTAGCAACTTCAAGAAACAAAGGAGGTTTCAGTTTCTAAATGAATGCACTCTACATGTACTGGTATCAAACTAAAGCTTACCGGATGCGGCATCTGAGAGCACTCAAACTTTGACAGAAATGCTCCCCCAAATGTTGTAAGACCAGTGAATGGCATGTCGGCTTGAACAGCAATAGTATTGCCAGGAATGGTCCTTCCATCAAATCCTGACTGAAGTGAAAACAAAATTAAATTGAGGGACAATTAGAAAAAAGAAGAAGGTATACAGTGACAGGGCCAGCCAGCAGGTAATGCAAACTGATAAGATTTGTAAAAGGCCAGCAACAAAGTTTTGTTTTGAACAACTGAAATGAATGAAGAAATATCCCATGGAAATGCAGTATGGTTTAAAGGAAGCTTTAAAGTGTTGAAAAAAATAACACAATAATGATTCTATTTTTTTCAATATTAGAGTTTATTTTCAGCAATCACCAGTTCATGATAATGGCTACCAATCTACCATAGTGCATAGGGACAATAGAAGTTGTTGCAATGATATCATAATAGCAAGGACCAACTACATTGGTTTAGCCAATATATATAAGGAAATCATTCTCAGGACACATGCTACAGTATTGGCCATCAGTCAGATCCCATATCCATTTTGTATGCAAATACAGTATTCATGCCAACAGTTACCATGACAACTACGAATCTATCAGTGGTTAGCTCTGGTCCGACGTGAGATCCTGAAATTGAAACGGACAAAAAGTCAAATTTTAATGCAATCAGAGGCAATTGAAAACAAAATGGCCATTAAGGCCGATAATCAAATCTGTTTTATAAGATGAAGCATCAAACCTGGGTAGCTTGTCTTCAGCAGATGCTTAATGAATGTTGTTTTCCCTGTTGAATACTGACCCAAGAGCATAACCATTGGCTTTGCATCAAAATCACTTTTTGTCTGGAAAATGATAGAAGCAATGGAGTGACATGTAAATAATGACAGAAGAGCACAATGAGCATCAAAGAACTTCAGAACAATAAGACCGATACTTCAAACAAAACAAAACTGTGAATGGAATTATTTACCAATAATGGGGAAGCAAAATCATTGTATCTGTAGGCGACTTCCAATGGCTTCAGTTTTTCGACATATAGTCTTTTCAAGCCATCAATTACAGAGGTAACAGCAGTCAGAGGCATCTGTACCTGCAGAATGCCAGATAAAACGCAAAATCACCCAATTGCTTTTTTAAGATTTGCGCGTTTTTGTATTAAGAGAGAATAGTTTGATTACAATGGGGATGGCTTAAATCTTTTCAATAAAGCTCATGCCCTCCCCGACACGATGCTAAACCACAATGCTCGACATATCAGGCAAAATAGTTTGTGCTGTAATGAAAAGCATATTGAAAGCACCAGCCACAGATCTTGAACGAGATTTCAAATTCAACAAGTTAATCTAATACCTTCTGTGCTGCTTTTGAACCAAACCAGTGATATATGGAAGGTGCTTGGACCTGAAGGGTGCCTGAAGAGCAGATATAGCCATATAGGTCAAAGATGATTCAGCCACATGATTACAACTTTTTTTTGTGCACAGCCACATGATTATAACTAGGGTTAAACATATTGGTTTCCATTGCCATCTGGGTGAACTCTCTTCACAACAGCCTTGGATCTCTGAAGAAAAATCCAGCATAACATCGTAATAATGTATCGTGTTCAAAGGGGCAAATTCATTTGAATGACACAGAATCTGAAGATTTCAGACTTACAGCTAGTGGCTCATCGACACCTTCCATCACAGGCGGATCCAAGGTGTTCAGGTCTGCACGAACCACCATAAACAATCGAGCTCAACATCCACGTCCAAATGAACTCACAGAAGGGGAAAAGGAAAGTCAAGTTCAGTTCACAGCCAACTACCTTCACGTTTCAGACTGTCCAGTGTGATTTCGTTCCCTGCTTGGGCCAGAGACACGAGCTGCAGTTTGCATATATCGGGTTAGACCATTAGTCCACAACCCAGCAGTGCAACCTCAACATTCATTATCAGATGCACACGCTGTGAGTATCACTAATGGATATGAGGGGACGAACCTGCATTGCTGTGACGAACTCCGCGAATCCGAGGTACCCCTGCCGCTTGGAATCCGCGATCGCCCATACCTTCGCAGGCAAATCCCAAACAGGGAAATATCATAAGCCATTCGTCAACGGTATCAGCCATGCCAGGAGAGGAACAGGAGGAGACCAGCGGCCCCGTGCTCACCTGCTTGAGATCGGCGCGTGAGAGCGCGGACATGCCGAAGAAGCTGGTGGCGTCGGCGCCCGTGACGCGGTCGTCGCCATCTGCAACAGAGCGCCCACGCCGGAGCATTAAGCACCAAACCTCGCGGATTTTTGGTGGCGGCCTGGGAACGAGGAGGGGCAGGAGCGCCTTACCTAGGTCGGTGACGGCGAACCACTCGGCGTAGATCCTCTGGTGCTCCTTGGAGCAGGCGACGCCAGCAGCCGCTCGCGTGATCTCCATCTCCGTCCCCTCTCGCCGCCCCGCCCAGGTGCTAGGCTGCCGCCGCCACAGAGATGAGCAGGAGCAACTGCAGCAGCACAGATGAGAGAGACAGGAGGAGCCTGACGGCCGGCCTCGCACTCGCTTCGGCTTTCCCTCTCGTTTGCGTTGGACGGGGTGGCAATTTGAAACGGAGGACCCCACTTCACGGAGACGCTCCCCCGAGATTTCTTTTATTTTTTTATTTTAAAAAATAGGGCTGGACGCTCCCCGATGTCCTGGCCCTGATGATGACCGATAGGCAAATAGGGATGGCATTTGGGAGGACCTGAATTCAAACTTGAAAAATCTCAAACGTAAAGAGGAAAAGACATGGGCCTGATATCTGGCCCAGATGGGCCGACGGACCATGGATCATTCCCAAATCTGTGAGGAGCCCACCAGGCCGTCACCAGTCAGACTCGACGCTACCAGTCTACCAGCTTCCAGGCTGTCGTGGGCTTGTGGCGCAGCGGCAGACGGACGCCAGGATTTCCATTAAAAAACCTCGGCCGAAACCTCAAAACCCTACTCCCGTCTCCTCTCAGATCTCTTCCCCTCCCTCACACTTGAAGCCCTAGCTCCGCCCAGCCCCCAACCATGGCGTCGATGATGGTAAGCGCCGCCTCCACGGAGCCCTAACCCCCAATCAGCTGGCGCCTCCGCCCTCGCACGCAAGCTCCGATTCGCTGATCCTGATGGCCGTGCTGACGCTTTCGTTGGTGTTCCGCAGCAACCGCAGATCATCCTGCTCAAGGAGGGCACGGACACGTCGCAGGGGCGCGCGCAGGTGGTGAGCAACATCAACGCGTGCACGGCGGTGGGCGACACCGTGCGGACCACGCTGGGGCCCCGGGGGATGGACAAGCTCATCCACGACGACAAGGGCGGAGTCACCATCTCCAACGACGGCGCCACCATCATGCGCCTTCTCGACATCGTGCACCCCGCCGCCAAGATCCTTGTCGACATCGCCAAGTCACAGGACTCCGAGGTATCCATCTAGATACAAATCTTTACCTGGAGCTCTGGAAACCTGCCTCATTGCGATCTATTAGATTTTGCATTACTTTGGTTATTTTAGTTGCCACTGTGGGCTGACAGTTAAGAAAATAAGAACCCTTATCAATTAATCCTAAACCATTTCGTGACATTTAATCTTAGTGAAGTAGGATCGGTTTGTTAAGGTGTGATAGGCACACGATTTTGGTGGAATGGCTCATAAATTCATAGTTTAGTCATGGATGGTCTGCGCGGTTGAGGCATAAGCCAAGGAATTGCAATTTGAATAGTGGGAATGATGACAGGCCAAATCCATTGCTAGCCAACCCACAGATCTCTTCTGTTGGGACTAAGATATGTCGAGTGTTATCTACAGGCATTTGGCTCAATGCAATGGTGCCTTTGAGATTTTGTGCCACGACATTTTTGTTGTATTTTTTATTTTCTTATTATTTGTTTCATTTCTTTTCTTTTCTTTTCAGACATTCACAGAAGTTTCTTATTTTCTGTTTTAATCTTTCTTGCAGTTTTTATTTGCAAGTATCAAATTTTATGTATCACAACAATTGAGTTTACCTCTAGTTCTGTGTTCCTTTTATACAGCGATGATGCTGTATAATTGACTTGCAGTTTTGGCTTCCGTTTTTTTTTTTCTGGATTTATGTTTGTTGGACTATGGAACTTGGGACATGCATGTTAAGCTCAACCTTAAATTTCTTACTCAGGTTGGTGATGGGACAACTACTGTGGTGCTTCTAGCTTCAGAATTCTTGAAGGAAGCAAAACCTTATATTGAGGATGGGGTGCACCCCCACAGTCTAATTCGCAGTTATAGAACTGCAGGCAATATGGTCTGTAACTACCATCTTCTTTTTTAACAGCCAACCTTTTGATTCTCTGCAACTATTTTCTGAAGTTCATTATTCATTAACATGAATTCTGTCAGGCAATTCAAAGGGTTAAAGAGCTGGCAGTTAGCATTGAAGGAAAAAGCCTTGAAGAGAAGAAAACATTGCTAGCCAAGTGTGCTGCTACAACACTCTCTTCAAAACTTATAGGCGGTGAAAAGGAATTCTTTGCTTCTATGGTTGTGGATGCTGTCCTTGCCATTGGCAATGATGATAGGCTTAATCTTATCGGGATTAAGAAGGTAATTATTGCAATGTTCACTTCCAAGATGTTGTTCTGGGTTGAAAAGTCTTAAGATATTAGCTCTTGATATCATTTTGATTTGACTTTGGAACTGATATTAAGGATTGATTACTGGGCATCAAGTAAACAAATATTTTCATCTAGAAGGGTTGTACCATTCTATATGTTTTGAGCTGTTGAAGGGACATACTTGGGATTCAGGAGCTATAAGATAAACCATTTTTGCCTAAAGAAAATAAGCTAGCCGTTTAGTTATCGATTTTGTTCCACAAGGCTCCCAGGGTTGATCCATAAAACAAAGCTTTTAGTATGCAGAATGTAAGGAATTCGTTTAATGGGAAAAAAAACTATGCTAGGATATATGTTACAAATTTAATGATGAACCCAGCACCGATTGCCATTAATTTTTAATAGCTCTGATGCTTTTCATTGCTTTATTTTCCCTTCGATTATAGGATTTTCATACTAGGAATGCCATGTAATATAGTATACATTTGATTTTTCACTATAAGACATTAACACCTGATATTTTGATGTATATTAGGTTCCTGGAGGTACCATGAGAGATTCTTTTCTGGTGAATGGTGTTGCGTTCAAGAAGACATTTTCGTATGCTGGATTTGAGCAACAACCAAAGAAGTTCCTGAATCCGAAGATTCTTTTGTTAAACATTGAACTAGAATTGAAATCTGAGAAGGAAAATGCAGAGATCAGGTATCCATACTGATTCACTCAAGCCCCACCTGCTACAGAACAGAATGTGTGCTCCATTCTTTACTTATGTTTATGCTTTTCAATGTTTGCTTATGCTGGCTCTATGTTTCCAACATACCTGTAGGTTATCTGACCCTCTGCAATACCAATCAATTGTTGATGCTGAATGGAACATTATTTATGACAAACTGGATAAATGTGTGAAAAGTGGAGCGAAGATAGTTCTGTCTCGGCTAGCTATTGGTGATCTTGCAACACAGGTAGCCTGATGTTTTTATTTATCCAAATAACCTTCTGCTCCTCTGTAAGCCAATCTCAGATAATTTGGGTCTATACAGTATTTCGCAGATCGAGACATTTTCTGCGCCGGTCGTGTCACAGAAGAAGATTTGCAACGTGTTGCTGCAGCAACTGGTGGAACTGTTCAAACTTCTGTAAATAATGTCATCGATGAGGTAAGCATGACATTTTTTATTTGCTTGTGATCTGTTGAATTGTCTTTTTTGATGTATTGTTGACTGGAAATTTAGGGTTAATGTCAGCTACCTGGTGCTGAGTGCAAGCTCATTTCTTTCTCTTTTTTTTTCTTTTGTAAAGGTACTTGGTTCCTGTGAGGTCTTCGAGGAAAAGCAAGTAGGCAATGAAAGGTTCAACATATTTAGTGGCTGCCCTTCTGGTCAGACAGCGACTATTGTGCTCCGTGGTGGTGCAGACCAGGTCTTCTATTGATACACTTCTGTTAGCCATCATCTGTTTTTAACAACATGTTATGAATGTCCTTACATTTCTTTTATTCTGTGCTAGTTCATTGAGGAAGCTGAACGGAGTCTCCATGATGCCATCATGATTGTGAGGAGAGCACTTAAGAACTCGACAGTTGTGCCGGGTGGTGGTGCTATTGATGTATGTCTGGTGGTCAACATGTCAACATGAATGATTCAGCAGTTCATAGAATTTTATGCTGATTTTTTATGTTTTGTGTAGATGGAAATAAGCAAGTATCTCAGACAGCATGCGCGGACAATTGCTGGGAAGTCTCAGTTCTTTGTAAATTCGTTTGCTAAAGCCCTCGAGGTACAATATTCCTGGTCCATACTTTTCCTTACTGGATTCAGGATTGTGCTTTTATTTATGCACTGCACTCAAAGCTTTCCACTAACTTCTTAAGGATACAATAAATGTGCTGCTGCTGGTTTTAAGTTGTATTTAATGTTCTGTCAAAAAGGGCTATATTGTTGATGAACTATTTGTTTCTGATCACTTACATGTTACGTCTTATATGTGCAATGTTGTATCCACTCATTTAGCCACTTTCAATAAAATCACCCTGCAGGTTATTCCACGTCAACTTTGTGATAATGCTGGATTTGACGCTACTGACGTTCTCAATAAGCTCAGGCAGAAACACGCATCTGGTTGGTTTTCTTAAGTTTTATTTTGAACTTAGTCTACACTTTTATTCATGATAGTACAGTTGTGAAGCAGAAAGCTATCTATTTTACTGATGCGTGATTCATGGCTAATTTGTTCAGGTGAAGGTGCTAATTATGGTGTAGACATAAACACTGGCGGAATTGCTGATTCCTTTGCGAACTTTGTGTGGGAACCTGCTGTTGTAAAGGTAATTTCGCATTTGGTTTCATTCATTTGAGGGTATCCATGTATCTTAAGTTCACATGGTGATGTCTTGAGAACTTTTCTGTTCAGATCAATGCTATAAATGCTGCAACCGAAGCTTCCTGCCTTATTCTTAGTGTTGACGAAACAGTGAAAAACCCAAAGGTAAGGAGGCATGCAAATGTCTAGGGTCCATTATAGTAAAAAAACAATGCCTTTACTCTTTTTTTGTTTCATGAGTGGAGTTTAGACTCATTTTCTTGTGGCAAAACCTCTTCCCTCCATAATGATATATTGTTAGGCCATCTCTTATGTTCTATTTAATCCAATCTATCTCCTCTAAAGTTCCAAATCACTAAACAAAAAATGATCATAGAAATAGTGTAGTAGATTCGGTACTTGAAAGAACATTTCTTTCTTTCTTTTTGTTCTTTTGCATTTTTAGAGATTGGTTTGACTGTCAAGGAGGCAAAGGACTCCACATTGCCACTTCAAATTGCACATGTTCAAACTATAGGTTGATGAAGACCATAGCATTTCTCCTAACTTAAGGCTTTGTGACTTTGAATTATATGGTCACTAAGTTCTTTTATTAGATATTTTGGATGTTCCTTGCAAACAATTTGTTTTGTTTAAAGCAATTGATTCTTCACATGAACTAATTGCCATATTTCCTTTCCTCAAATTGTGGGATACTCTAGTCGGAGAGCGCACAAGGTGAGGCTGCAGCTGGTGCAATGGCTGGGCGTGGTGGAGGGGCAATGCGAGGACGTGGTGGCAGGGGCATGCGCAGGCGATGAACTGAGCCACGTTGATCCTGTAACATTATGTTTTGATCACCTGTGGATCAGATTCTTTTTTTGCCTCTTTGCGCGGTGCTGTTGCGTTGTACTGCACATGTAATGTGAGTTTATGGACACGCACTTATTATTGTGTGCTTTTGGTTGGGAAGCAATAGCAGCCTTTTTGTTTCAGAGATACACCAGGCGTTTATCATTGTAGCTTTCCTGTTGTGGTATAGTAGTAGGGAGACCTGAGCCTTTGGTTACAATTTGTTTGGCCCAGATCTTAGTATATTGGCTTTGTTATTTCATCGTGAGAATGGAATGATCGTTTGTGATCCTCGTGCGCTCAATCGTAAAGCATTAAACAGGTGCTTGTACGTTTGTAACCCGAGATGCTGTTTGCTCACACCAATGAGTGGCTCGAGAGCAATTTTTTCAGGAATGGGCGTGTTACAGTGCTAATGACGCCAATTCTCTGCTACTAAGGGCATATTTGATACATATGGCTATTACCAGTTGGGTAAAGATTAGGTCAAATTAGCTATGGTTAGATAACTAGTAGGCTGAAAACTAGTTTGAGACTTGGCTACTGGTCCACTTATTAACCATCTTGTTTGGATAGCCCACCTATTAACTATTTTGTTTGGATGCACCAAAGCTAATTTGAGCTAAAATTAGCTAGTTAACAATTAGCCTATGATATCCAAATATATCCTTTTTAGTGTTTGTTTTCTTATTATAGGCCATTAGCAACAGTGCCAATTACTCTACGACTTGCCTGTGCGTTGCTAAGGGAAGGTTAAATTTTTCAACGCAACAATGGTATGATAAAACAACTAGAAGGTCAAAATCAACATACAAATAATAGAACCTCCCCATCTCAGAAGTGCAGAATTTAGCCCACCTTCGCAACCAATTAAATGGCTCACCTACAATAAAGGTATTGGTTCGATCAATATTTAATACCTCAATCAATAAAGAACCAAACAAATGACAGTAAAATCAAACAATTTAGCTCCAAGAATGACTCGAACCAGGGTGTCAGACTCACAGCAGCAATAAGACTCGATGTACATGATACCCACGTCATATAGATAGTGGCCCCGTTCGTTTCGTTGAAAAAACAAGTCAAAATACTGTTCCGGCTGATTTGTTGTGAGAGAAAAACACTATTCCAACTAAAAAAACAAGCTGAAAAATACGGATTATAAGAGAAACGAACAGGGTCCGTATATAAAAATTCATTTGCTAAATTTAGGCCACCTTCGCGACCAATTAAATAGTCCACGTCAAACTTGAGATGCTTTAACTCTCCCATCGTGTCATCTTTTTATCCAGTTTTTTTTTTCGTGTTTTTTTTGTGTGAAGCCCGGCCATTCCAGTCCAGGCTCCAGGCCAATCGCTAGCTCTAGTTTTCGCCGGCCGCCGCTACCCACGCACGGGCATGGCGCAGCGCGCACGACGCACCACACGAGCTGACGAGCGCACGGCCACTCTAGCAAGATTGCGAGACTGTGACGTCATCGGATGCCGCCGCGGCGTACGGCGGCCTCGGGCTCTTCCTGCGGCGTCGAGAAGCTGCGGCGCTACGGAGCGGGAGTGCGGGGTTCCCCATTCGCGGGCTCGGCGTCCGGGGCTCCGGGCAGCCGGCGAGAGCAGCTAGCGACCGTGAGCGACGCGACCTGACTTCACCTGAGGTGTGTTCTTCCCCGCACGTTCCATCCTCATTTGGGACCCGACGTTCCTGCTCGTGGTTGCGAGTCATGTTCCATCGTCTATCAGGACGGCGTCCCGCCATGTTCCTGTTCCGCGAATCGGAACCAAGTGGGCACGTTCCCGTTCCCCGGCTGCTAAGCGCCCATCGCCTTCCCGAACCCGACCTCCCGTGCCAGCCAGCAAGGGCGGCGGCGGGGTGGCGGCGGCTTGCTGCCTGCCTGCCAGCCAGCAAGGGCGGCGCGGCCTGCTGCCTGCCTGCCTGCTTGGTACGGGATACTCTCTCTTTATACTTATATAAAGCACCATGTCAACGCTCGACGAAGTCGTCGTCCTCTTCGGTTCACTCGTAGCAACTGTTGCCTCCATATAAGCACCATGTCTATACGGCCGGGTTGCCTATCTAATAAAGGCTGCTTGCTGTCTGCAAACATTATACAATCACCATGGTGGTGCTCCTCATCAAGCCTCTCTTGAGCATGCTCGCCTTCTTCCACATTTGCCTTGCCACATTCGTGGCACAGACATCACTGGCAGCTCATGGAGCAATCGCCCCCCACATCGCCGACTCCGACCAGCTCGCGCTCATGTCATTCAAGTCACTCGTGACGAGTGACCCATCGGGAGCCCTAGCTTCGTGGGGCAACATGTCCATTCCCATGTGCTGGTGGCGCGGCGTGGCGTGCGGCTTGAGGGGACACCGCCGGGGCCATGTGGTGGCTCTGGACCTCCCCGAGCTCAACCTGACTGGCACCATCACCCCTGCGCTGGGAAACCTCACTTTCTTGAGGCGACTCAATCTTTCATCGAATGGCTTCCAAGGGATCTTGCCTCCAGAGCTCGGTAACATCCATGACCTTGAGACTCTACAACTTACCTACAACTCCCTCTCTGGCCAGATTCCACCGTCACTTTCAAACTGTAGCCACCTGATAGAGATTTCCCTCGGCGACAACAATTTACACGGGGGAGTACCCAGTGAGTTAGGCTCTTTGCGCAACTTGCAGGTACTCAGTCTTGGCAAAAATTGGCTTACAGGAACCATCCCTTCTTGGTTAGGCAACCTCTCTTCATTAGTATTCCTAGATCTTCAGCAAAATGGTCTAGTTGGTCAGATCCCAGAATCATTAGGAAATCTTGAGATGCTTACAATACTTTCTCTCTCAGGAAACAATCTTTCAGGTCCCATACCTAGTTCGCTTGGCAACCTCTATGCCCTCACTGGACTTGGTCTAGCGAATAATAAGCTGGAAGGCCCTTTGCCCCCTTTAATGTTCAATAATCTTTCCTCCCTCGAATTTTTATATATAGAATACAACAACTTGAATGGGACTCTTCCACCTAATATTGGAAACAACCTTCCGAAATTAAACTATTTTCTTGTATCAGACAATGAATTTCATGGCATGCTCCCGTCATCCCTTTGCAACGCCTCCATGCTTCAAGCTATTCAAACACTAGAAAACTTCCTATCGGGAACGATTCCAGAATGCTTAGGAGCTAAACAAACGAGCCTGTCCTCAGTGTTAATTGGAGGAAATCAGTTTGAAGCAACAAACGATGCTGATTGGAGCTTTGTGGCTAGTCTGACCAATTGTAGCAACTTAGTTGAACTAGATGTTAGCTCGAATAATCTCCATGGCGTGCTGCCAAATTCAATCGGTAATCTCTCAACACTTCTATACTATCTCAGCATTGCAAAAAACAATATAACTGGAACAATAACAGAAGGAATCGGTAACCTCGTCAACTTACAAACACTTGACATGCCTCATAACTTTCTCATAGGTGCTATTCCAGCATCTCTCGGCAACCTTAATAAGTTATCCGAATTATTTCTGTACAATAATGCTTTGTCTGGACCCTTGCCGGTAACTCTTGGCAATCTTACACAACTAACTAGACTTCTCCTCAGTACAAATGCTATAAGTGGACCTATACCATCTAGTCTCAGCCATTGTCCTTTAGAAGTATTGGATCTTTCTCACAACAATCTTTCTGGTCCGACACCTAAAGAACTCTTTTCCATACCAACCTTGTCGATCTTAATCACTGGGAATGATGGTCTTTGTGGTGGTATCCCTCAACTGGGATTGCCACCTTGCCCCACCCAGACAACCAAGAAACGACATCGAAAACTTGTCATAACAGTCTCCGTGTGCAGTGCACTTGCCTGCGTCACATTAGTATTTGCATTGTTTGCACTCCGACAAAGGAGCCGCCAGAAGACAAAAGCACACCTACAAAGGTCGGTCTTGAGTGAGCAATATATGAGGGTTTCTTATGCCGAATTGGCTAATGCAACAAGTGGTTTTGCATCCGAGAACCTCATAGGAGCTGGGAGCTTTGGGTCAGTTTACAAAGGAACAATGAGAAGCAACGACCAGCAAAGAGTGATCGCTGTTAAGGTTCTCAACCTCATGCAGCGTGGTGCATCTCAAAGTTTTGTTGCAGAATGCGAGACTTTAAGATATGCTCGACATCGGAACCTTGTAAAGATATTGACTATCTGTTCAAGCATTGATTTTAAGGGCCATGACTTCAAGGCCCTCGTGTATGAGTTTCTACCGAATGGAAATTTGGACCAATGGGTGCACAAACATATCATCGAAGATGGTGAACCAAAGGCACTAGATCTGACTACAAGATTAAATGTTGGAATTGACGTGGCGTCCTCACTTGATTACCTTCACCAACATAAGCCAACGCCAATTATTCATCAGGATCTTAAACCAAGTAATGTTCTCCTGGACAGTTCCTTGGTTGCTCGTGTGGGTGATTTTGGGCTTGCGAGGTTTCTACATCAAGATATAGGTACATCAAGTGGATGGGCATCAATGAGAGGATCAATTGGATATGCAGCTCCAGGTACCTTTCATTTGCTCTGTATAAATGTACTCCACCATGTTGGCTTCAACCAAAGCTCAAGCCTTTCTTGGTGTTGAGCTTTTTACGAAATTTGAAAATCTTATATCCGTGGAATTACAAGAAACTAATTTAATACACACATGTTACTTTATCAAATTAAAAGAAAATCTCATTTTGGTTTTTTTCAGAGTATGGACTGGGCAATGAAGTATCTACCCAGGGTGATGTCTACGGCTATGGCATACTATTGCTGGAAATGTTTACTGGGAAAAGACCGACAGACAACGAATTTGGTGAAGCCATGGGGCTCCGCAAGTATGTTCAAATGGCACTACCAGACACAGTGAGTACTATCATGGACCAACAGCTTCGGATGGAGATAGAAGATGGCGAACCAGACACTTCAAACTCCAAGCTCAGAATTTCTTGCATCACTTCGATTCTGCAAGTAGGGATTTCCTGTTCGGAGGAGATGCCCATGGATCGTATGTCAATTGGAGATGCTCTGAAAGAGTTGCAAGCGATTAGAGAGAAGTTTCAGAAGCTCCTCTGTAGTGAAGCATCATCATCATCCCACTGAAGATTCTCCTGCTGCATCCATTAGGTGGTTTGTGCATTAGAGCATGAGATCGATCTGTGTGATTGCATGATATATTATTTTACTACTATTTTCAGGAAGCACCAATATTCTTCCAAATAAACTTGTAGCTCCTTTTCTATTGTTTGTTTGAACTAAAGCGCTTGTGTGTTGATTATACCGATCTTAACAAGGCATATACCCTAAAGAGTTGTGTGCATAATTTTTTTTTCACAAATCTTGTATGCATTTTTTTCTTATTACAAATCTTGTGCGCACAATTTTGTTTCACTAGTATTGTGCATAATTTTATTCACAAAATCTTGTGCACATAATTTGCTTTTTTTAATAAATGTTGTGACTGGGTGTGGTTGTGCCACCGCGCCCAAGGGCATCAGCACTGCCAGAGTATGATCTTCGGTGCAAGCTTCAATCCCAACTGAAAGTGAGATGCCGGATGGTCGCCGCATTCAGAAGAAGTACTGACTGTGATCGATCATCCTTCCTGGCTCTTACAGGATTCATCATCGGGCACAAACTGCTAGTGGTGTCAATTGCTCTAAGGTTGCTTGCCTGATAAACTTGGTGGTGCCGTTAGTTACAGGGGAAGAGCAGAAGTCGAGCAGGCCAGGTCCGCCGGTGGTACAACGAAGCTGGAGAGGACGTGCACGACCTCACGCATGGTGGGCCGTGCGTGGCTGCTCTCGCGGACGCAGGATATGCCCACCCTGAAGAGTCGAGCGATCAGGCCGGCGGGCTCTGGCGGCAGCCGGGGGTCAGCCACGGCCAGGATTGCTGCCGTGTCCGTGGGTCTCGGCACGACGCTCCGCGCCCAGTGGACGAGGTCGATCTCCTCGCCGAAGTCGCCGAGCGGGGGGCGCCCCGTGACGAGCTCCAGCAGCACCACGCCGAAGCTGTACACGTCCGTCTTCTCGTCCACCCGCAGCGTGTACGCGTTCTCTTCACGCACCACTTCGAGCGTGTACGCCACGTTCTTCGTTCTTACGAGGAGCGATGTACCCGTACGTGCCGGCGACGACCGATACGGACTCCTCCGCCGCCACCGCTCTCGTTCCGTCGGAGCAGGACGCGCCGCGGCTGAGGAACTTGGCGAGGCCGAAGTCAGTGACGTGCGCCTCCATCGCCGAGTCCAGCAGGATGTTGTTGCATTTGACGTCGCGGTGCAGGATCCTCGGCGAGCACTCGTGGTGCTGGTAGCATAGCGCGCGCGCCGCCTCGGTGGCGATGCGGTGCCTGGCGGCCCAGCTCAGGAGGAGTCCGCCGCTGTCCCCGTGCAGGACCGCGCCCAGCGACCCAATCGGCATGTACTCGTACAGGAGCAGGTTGGCCTCCCCGCTGGACGCGAAGCCGAGAAGTCGGACGACGTTGCGGTGCCGGATGCCGCCGAGCGTGGTCACCTCGGCTCGGAAGCCGTGGTCGCGGCGGCCGGGGCCTGGCAGGCGCTTGACCGCCACCTCCGCGCCGCCCCGCGTCACGCAGCGGTACACGGTGCCGGCACCTCCTCTGCCAATGGCGTTCTCCTCCCTGAGGCACCTGAGCACGTCGTCCATTTCCAGGTCCATGTTCTCGAACCGTGTCATCTTCCACGCCGTAGGCCGCCGCCGATTCGCCGTCTCCCGCCGCGCCCTGCGCACCCATCTTAGTCCGAGGCACACGGTCACCACCATGGCGCTGGCGGTTGGGACGAGCCACAGCAGCGTCCTCGTCTTGAAACGGCGTGAACGCTGCAACGACAGAGTATTCTGTTAGGGAGTTGTTCTTTTCATTTCAGACATAGCCCCATTCCAAACAGAATACAACGGCTATATATATATTGAGAAACAAATACATCGGCTTATATGGATGCCGCCTCCAACAACCATGGGCCGAGCCCCTACGCCTAACAGGCCAAGCCCGAAAACTCCACTCACTTCCACCTTGAAACAGCCCAACTCCCTGGTTATGTTGCCAGATCCGGATCGAGTTCCAAACTAATCACGTTTTTATTTTTTGAATTCGAGACATGGGCCTCCCCTGGGCCTTACAGCTTCTAGTGCTTCCTCAGTCTAAAGGCCCGCTTCAACAGCTTGAACACGACTATCAACGCTGGTGGCCCTGACGGCATTGCTGAATGCTGATGGGAAACTATATTTTAGCTATGCTTTCAGTGGTAGACGATGTCTCGTCGACAGCGAAGCGCCTGTGGTGACTTTGTGAATTTCGAGATATGTCGGCTCAGTCCTTCGGACGTGCTCATAGGGGTAGGGGTTAGCGTACGTGTGCTCATAGGGGTCTACGTTGTACTGTGTAATCTTAAAAAATATATATTTACCCTTTCTGAATTATTGTTGTAGTCTAGTTTTTCTTCTGGAACTATATAAAATCGTTCGAAGTTACCTCACTATCCTAGTTTGGAGTGGCTTTGAAGGTGATTTTGTATCTTTTAAATATAAAAATCGATAAATATTTGACAAGGTTTCTAAACCCTAGAAATGACTCTAAGATTTAAAAATTTCAAAAAAAAATATAGAGATAGATTGAGATATGAGAAATTCAAATTAAATATTTAGAGCTCATAAAAATATCACTAGATTCTTAAAAAATTGATTAGCTCTAGGAAAATGAAAAAATATCCCAAAAAATTTGAATAATCCTCGAAACATTCTAATTGATATGTAAATATGTTTTGTAAATGTTTTGCAACAAAAAACATAATACGTAACCAACACGAAATGCATTGCATGAATGCATTCACAGTTAATCTATGTTGCATTCATGTTCGTTGCATCTAATATTTTTGGCATGAAAAGTTTTTAAAACATGTTTATACATTGATTAGATTATTTTGGAAAATTTCTAGATATTTTCCATTTTCCTAGAGCTTAATCTATATTTTTTAGAATTTTTAAAGAGGTTTTCACTAGCTATAAATACTTTATTTGTATTTTGTATCCTAATCTATGTCTAGATTTTTTTTGAAAATTTTAAAAATTAGAGTTGTTTTCGTTTACAGAACTTATGAAGTATTTATCAATTTTTAATATAAAAGACCAAAATCACTTGAAATCAAACATGGATGTAATTTGAATGGTTTTAAGAGGTCAAGGGGGTAAGATGTCTAGTTTTAAAGTTCGAGGAAGAAAATCAGACTACGGCAATAATTAAGGGAGGTAGAATAGGTTTTTTCCAATGCTGATTCCTTTGTTTGATATTGTTGTCATGAAGATTTAATTATGTGTTTTTATTTATTTGCATTTAATACATGTCATCCATGTTCTTACAAAATTTGTTGTTCATAATAAGTCGACGGTATCCGTGAAAACACGCAGTGGCGAGTGAGATCTCCAAGTGCCTAGCTAGTAAAACCCACACCTAGCAAATTTGTTTGGTTCTTGGCTTGCAAGTTTTTTTTGCTAAGCTTAAAAATCAGAATTTGATTATATTGGTACCGCGGCTCTGCATTGGACTTTATTGTTGTGTAGAAATGATGCTGCTTTTAAAAGAATTGTATCTCATTTATTCATGCAAATTATCTTTAGGAGAACTTACTAATTCAGAAAGTGGTTGCAATGTCTAAAGAGAAAGTGAGAATGCCCCAAGGAATGGTTGTTGGAATTGTTCGGCAAGTTTGGATAGAGGAATAGAAATCCGAGGCTTAAGTTTTGAGTCTTTTAGTTGTGTTAGAAACCTTTGCTTTTTGGTGGCGTTCGATATTGAACGTTTATACTAGTTCATTGGTGAATGATGGAGACCAAAATATTTTATTCCTTAATATAAGAGGTATATACTCATGGAATCTAATGACAGATTTTTGTATTATTGATGATCAACCAAATTTGAACTTTTCGAGTAAGAGGAATCATGTGGTAAAATCACGGAACCTTCAATTTAGGGTGCATGTGGCGAACTGAGCATAGCTCAATTGGTTGGGTTTTCTTGTGATGAAACCTACTCATTCAGGTTAAGTCTTCGACTAAGCATGATTGTTCGCATTTTCCTGGAGTCTTCGACTAAGCATGATTGCTTGTATTTTTCTGAATTTTATTTCAGAATTTAACAATGCTATTCTTTCAGCGGTAGATGATGTGCCCATCGATAGTGAGACGCCCGTGGCGTAACTCATCAGTCTTGAGATTTGCCGGTCCGACTTAGTTCTTCGGAGATGCTCAAAGGGGTAGGGTATACATGTGTGTGCGTTTATAGAGGTGAGCATACCTTATGTATATGAGCGTCTGCATCAGTAGTGTGTCAAAAAAAAACTTAGGATGCACGTATAATTGCCCTGAAGTGAGAAGAATCAAGTGGCAACTCAATCTATTTTTTTAAAAATACTACTACATATATAGTTCAACATTTTGAATAGTAGATAGTGCTAAAGGTGGCTATGACCTCTCTTGGCCTTTGAGATTTCTTTTTTGCGTAGGCAGTTATCATTAGCTAGGCTTACATAACTGCCCCACCTAGATCTCACCTCAAACTCTACCGTCGATCTTAAACACGGTGATGCAAATGTATAAATGATCGTTTTTGCTCTTATAGTACTTAAGAGTATAGTCTAGCCATGACCTAAAATTCTTATTTATTTTTAGTAAAATGTAAGGATAAAAAGTTATGAATAAAAGGTGTAATAAGCAAACAAAGGTTCAACTAAATTTGAGGATGAAAAATTGTAGCAGCTAATAAAATCAAAATTTAAAAATTAAAATATAGATTAATAATGCCATGAAACAATATGGCTGGGTTGCAACAAGAGGCACCCTATCGTCACTCTTTCCAATCGGCTCCGACCTCTTGTATTTCTTCTTCACCCTGAGAATTCCGGTGACCATTTCTGATCAAATGCTGTTCCGGAATTGGGTTGGATGTTTCCGCTGTACAATGGTCTTGCTGTGGAGGTGTGCCACTTGACGGGGCACTTGCATATTGCTGCCGCAGCTGGTTCCTGTTGTGGCAGTGCTTGATTCTCAGCTCCCGCAGCTGGTTCCTGCTGTGGCGGTGCCTCCCCCGGCTTGCACTTCCGCTCCTTCTTGACGTGGCCAGCACTTGCTGCTCTGGATGTTGCAGTGAGAAAGAATGACCCATATGTGCGTTATGAACTCGCCGCCAGTTGCAAGGCATTTCTTGTGAGCCGCGGCGTTCCAAGAGGGAGCAGTGTGCAGCAGTATATCGGCCCATACCTCTGCGAGGACCTTCCAACGAACTTTTTATCTCTGAACTGGTGAATCAGACACCAAGCAAGCCATGCTGCTTTCTCAAGCATCAAATTGGGATGCGTCTCTGCTCTTTTCTTTCTTCTGCCAATGGCATCTAGGATGTCTTGTGGCTGTTGCAGATTCCCTTCTCGAATCAGCGTTCTGTATATGCTCTGCAGGGTGTCGCAGTCACTCAATACATCTGAAGCCTCGTCGATGGTGCTTCGGAATATGTCATCGGCGGTTAAGTAACTGTCAGGTAGCAAATCTGGCTCTTTAATTAGCTTGCAGCGCTTCTTCAATTCTGCCTTTCTTTATAACATACGGCTGGGAGGAGAAACAATTGAGAACAGCTTTGATCGCACACGGTACCTCGGAAAGGGTTAAGCTTGTGTTGTAGTGCTGGGCAAGCTCAATCTCACAGAGGCTTGTTGCTATATGCCACACAAGAATGCTGTGGCACCATGATCGGAGCTGGAAAGTCCACTCGAACTGCCTGTGATGAATCGGCAGCTCTGAACTCAGTGAGTTGTGCTCAAGATCTAGCGAGCAGAGTGACTTGAGAACGGCGGCTTTCACTTCTGGCGGCAGCTCTATTGCGTTGCCTACTTTCCCACCTTTAGTTTCTTTCGGGACCAATCCGAGAGTTAAATAGTGAAGAATGTTCCAAGGATTGTAACCATATGACTGGAGGAATTCGTACTGACCAATCTTATTGTGCCAACGGTGCACGATCGCGCATCTTGGTGTGCACAAGATCCGAACCAAGAACTCCCACAGGCGCTGCGGGATACACTTGACGTTCTGTGATGTGTATTCGCACAGCAGCAACACCTTTGTCCAGTCGGACGACATGTAGGTGACCATCTTCCAAATCTCCTTCAAAACGATGAAGCCCATGAATATCCATGTGATGATGAGATCAACATTGAAACCACGTACGACGTGGGCAGTTTCCCCCTCCTTAGGCTTGTAGAGCTTGTGGATGTCCCTTCCAAGCCAAGCGATGAGAGCAATGGTAAGCAGAGGATGCCAAGAACAAAGGAGAGGGAAGCCACGCCAGAATAGGACGGGATATCTTGTGTAGAAGTAGTCGTTGAGGAATGCTAGCTCCAGCTTGGCAATTCTGAATGTTCTCTCGACGTGCTGGTCAGCCGGGGCTCCGCTGTTCTTGCCTATAATTTCATATATCAATCTTCTGGTGTGAGTGATGCTATCAATGGGCAGCGGTAAGTCATCGTATCTGCAGCGGAGTAGCCGGTATAGTGCAAAGGAGAGGGACAAGTCTTTCATCCATTGTGTTCGGGCGTTAGTAGAACCATCCTCTGACACTGAGCCGACGTCTGATTTCCTGTCGTTGCCGAGCAGCTTCCAAGTCTTGTCCAGCGTCGTGATGACCAGTTTTTCAGTCCGTTTGTGTACTGCCAGCTCAAATTTATACCCAGGAGGCTTCAGTCGGACCTTCTGCTTCTGATCTCCAGAAACCAAGTACTTGT